ATACTGTATGCACAAGCCAACTTGTACAATATTCTGAGTTCTGAAATTGATTCTGATATGCCTGAGGCATCTGAAAACACCTGGGAAGACTTTGAAGAAATTTCATTAATCATTCTCGAATTTTCATTAATTTCAGACAAATTTTGAAATTTCTTGAACGCTGCTGTCCACGCTAAGTGCAATACGTGGGAACACCGTCCGTCTGCAAACACGTAAGCTTGACGTTGGCTGCATCTATGAATAACTCTTTCACGATGCCATTCACGGTGGCCATGGAGTATCTTCTGCTCCTGGTCCCTCCCAATTCTGGAATGTCTGTGTCCATACCAATAGCCTTGGTAAATGATCCAGCGGGATCCGCCAGCATTCTCACCTAAATCCCAACGATTCCCTCTGTTTTCGTTGAATCCACTGGAAGTCTTAGGAAATATATTATCATATCATTGACGTCGTTACTTTATCGTTTGCTCCTCTGGCATTTCCCCAGGCAGACATCACAAATGGATCATTGACTGACACGCAGATAATCTCTTCGAAGCCTAGGAACTTGAGGTCTGTTGATCTAAATTGGCAAACGATTTCCATATCTTATCATCGAGTCTGGAAGATGCTTTTTTTTTTCTTTTTTTTTTTTTTTTTGAAGATCGAAAGATCAAATACACCAAAGACATGATGCCAATTACTTTTCAATGAATCCTCTGAGATGTACCCTGGAACATCCTGGAACGAAAGCACCAGGAACTCCAAAGATGATGGCTTTCTTCTCAGCCACCAGATCCAGTATATTCGTTTGATTTTCCGGCAGAGCTTCGTACAAAGTCACGCTAGGCAGTTTGTCGCCTTTGTCGATCGGAGGCATTTCTGCGGAAGCTGGACCTTCGCCGTTGAACTTGGCCTCCAATTTCAGAGTGATCGAGGGAATTAATCGCAGATTCTCGTTTGTTCGTCTCGAGGGGTAAACAAATTCGTTTCTGACTTCATCGTGCTGCTTCATCGTCGATCATTCGGGATGATCGGTGGGATTTAAATTTAGAAGTTGGCGTGCTTGCAAGAAATCGGAGGATCGATCGAGAGAAAATTCCTGCCAAACGGCCGACTAGATTTGGAATCGCGAGAAAGAACTCGACCAACCGTCTTGCTCCTTGGCGCGGATGTATTTATTGTTTGCTAGATGAATGGCGCAACTGTTATTATTGAATTTACTGTAGTCGTCAGAAGATCGGGTTGGTCATCTTCGATTTTCTATCTTTTTTTAAACAAGTTTTTCATTTGTAAAGATAACTCGAATTTGATTAAAAAAATATACATATATATTCCCGAACACTTCCGGCACATTTTTAGCGATCTCAGAGCGAAGGTTCGGGCAAAGTAGGGCATCGCGTGGATGGTTGAAAGATCGATTCTCCTCCAAAGGTCATCCTCCAGAGACAGACTTTAGGCAACCAGTAAAAATTAGCCCTTGAAGAGAGCTCAGACGGTCGCAGCCCGCCCCACACGTACCGATCGGATTAAAGACACGTGCGTTCATTTTTCAGGTTTCGTGGCATGCACGTTGACAAATCCTATTTGGTTCGTGAAGACCAGGCTGCAGCTGGACCATCGAACAAACAAAATCACCGCGATGGAGTGCGTGCAAAGGATATACCGCCAATCGGTACGGAAATCCTCTTCTGAGGGATAACTCCTCGTTCCACGAGACGCTATTCCCGTATTATATCAGGAGAATTTTTTTTTTTTTTTTTTTTTAATCCATGTTATATATCCATCGCACACGA